GTGTGTGTGTGTGTGTGTGTGTGTGTGTGTGTGTGTGTGTGTGTGTGTGTGTGTGTGTGCGTGCGTGTGTGTGTGCGTGCGTGCGTGTATATGTGCGTGCATGTTTGACGGCACATGTGCATCTCATGACTGCCGATGAGTGTGTGCACGTGCGTGCGTACGCGTGTACGTGCGTGCGTGCGTGCATACGTACCCGAGTGCGTGCGTGCGTGTGTGCGGGCGTGCGGGCGTGTCCTTATCTGTGCTTCTCAAGTCCGAAAGGGAACGCATGTGCTGAGGGTAGATAGCCAAGTGCAAAGTCAGATCAACACGCTTATGTGCGTATATGCGCGTACCTGCGTGCGTGTGCTTGCGTGCATCCAACAACCGATATTAAAACGTGCATATATGCATGTGATTGCCTGCGTACATGCGTTGGGCGCGCGTACATACGCACTGTTGTGCGCGCGTGTTTGAAACTCTTCCCGACCACGTGTGTGTGCACGTGATCCTGCACGCGTGCGGGCACGCATGTCCACGTGGGCGAACGAAGCCGCATCAAAAATGCTTAATGGAAACCTCCCCGTGAGGGCACGGAGCGTGTAATAGCCAGAGCGTCATGGCTGGTGGTGATTTGACTGCGCGTTGGAAAAGGGAGTACGAAGACATTGTCGTACTGCGGCGTTGCCCATACATCAAGCAAGTCTGTCAAATGATCGTCGCAGACAGCTAAGCAGTGATGTAGTAGCGAGAGAAGAACCCGCCAACAAAATGTCAACATAGAGAAAACTTCACGATGTCGGCCGCGGCCCTTGCTTGCTGTGTGTGGCGTCGCTGTACTATTCCTGCAATTATCGAACGCAAATAGCCCCGTAACGTCATTAAATGTTGTACTTTCTGCGCTTCATTATCTACGATTGCCGAGTACGTGGCATGACCATCAATATCAATGCGTGGTAGCAGTAGTAATGTGCGCGCGCGGGCGCGTGTACGTGTGTGCGCGCGCGTGTGCGTCTGCGTGCGTGGGCGTATAACTGTTGTAGTATATACATCTCGACGCGCACCTCAAACACTACAGCGCCATATTACACCCGACCGCACCGTGCTTCGCCTGTGTTACCAAAATAACCGCGTTAACACGTTAATGGAGCAGCCTTTTCCCCGGAGGCCTTCGACGAAATGGCGTTTCGTGTTTTTAATGCTACATTTTTCCAAATCACTATTTTCATTCCTTCAAAATTATGGAGATTTTGCGCGTGTTTATTTTTAATACGAAGGCCTCTTATGGCGCTGAAATATTACGCCGACTAGAGGAGATTGCCTGAAGGTCAATTAGCAGCCGACGCGGCTGGTTCTTGGAGTAGTTTTGAGCCTAATATCGGTGGGAGGAAGACGTAAGACTCAAGTAAAATGACGCATGAGTCAAATTACTCAACGAAAATCCGCCGCACACGTGAGTAAA